AAACTATACAGTTTGATAGAGTAATCAATGCTCTATCTAACTGTATAAAAATAAATAACTTCTTAACTTTAGCCAGAGTTCAGTAAACCGAAGAAAAATAAGTAAAAATAGGTGAATCATGCTATATGCAATTGTCAATGTTCTTTTAAAGTGGATCTTTGATTCAAACTATCGATGCACCGTTGACTGGAGGAACTTCTTCCTTTTTACAGCAGCTCATGATCTTCTGGCGTTTGGAAATAAGAACGACGATGACAATAATTACAAAGATAACGTATCTTGATATTATAATTCCTAGAGCAGTGCGAAACAAATCTGCTTCACAATAGGTAGTGGGATTTGTATTATCAATATTTTGATAGCCATCGCGCGCAGCACCGAACACCCATATATTTCCAGCAATAAACCATGCAAAACAGAAGAGATTCACGACGATGATGATGAGGATAAGAACGAAAATGAGTTTTCTTGCTACTACTTGATTGTACTTCTTGTAGATAACACGAGAAGTAAGAAAGGCGAGAATGCCGATTAAGACTTCAAAGAGCATCACAGATCCATGTACAGTTAAGAAGTACGCAATCATTGGTTGAATTGGACATTGGCCTATATATTGGAGACCATAGCGAAGTTCCACAATTCCAAAGACTATGCCTATGATAATAGTCACGACGTGCCTTATCGAACCATAGTAAGCAACTGCCTTGTCAAGACGCTGAATTCTTTTCTGTTCGGGAGTATCAGTGACTTCATCAATAGTCTCACCATTGGATGTTTTAGATTGCTGCATGACGAAGTGAGCTCGAACAGAATATGTTAATCAGAGTGCGGTTTTGTTTCTCGCAGCGCTTTTTATGTTCCTCGCAGAGAAGCCCTTCCAAGGAAGGCACCGAAATGATGCGCGTTATTCATACACCCACGATCAACTTTTTTTCTCATTGACATACTTTAGTTGTGAATAGTAACATCAATGCCATAATTAATGCCCTTTTCAAGTTCTGTAAGAGTAACAGTGATGAAAAGCGCATAGCATTATATAAATAAATTCGCGTCCTTCTCTGATCATGCATGTTGAAAACAAGTCAATACAAGCTCTATAATAATTGCTTTTTGTAAGGAATCAGATCGAGAACGCAAAAGGATAAATAGAATGAATGATAAAAAAACGCGTACAATTACGCACAATGAAAATTTTTAACCCGATCGATAGAACAGAACTGCAACGCAAGTGTGGGTATGAATGTGGGTGCCAGTTAGTAAAAGATGGACCCACACCCGACATCTGACACATATTTAATAATAATTATTTTAAAATTAAATCAAAATAAGGATACATATACAAGCTAGCAATTAAAGAATCTTTTTTTAATTAGCACGTTATTAATTAAATACTTCTAAAAATAATCAGAGACACTTATACAATCAAACAAATATACTCGTATCACTACTTACATAATTACTGACTATTATCTATATCTTCACAACATCATTTATCACTTCCATACACGTAACAAAAACATTAAAACAAATTTAAAGCAAAATGAATAAATAAGTTGTTTGACGATGATATTAGTGCTTATGAACGTCGAAATATTACATAAAAAACTAAATAAAATAGTTATTTAACATCATTTAACATAAAGCTGCATCATCTCATTTATTGAAAATAAAACAACAATACAAAGTATTTTCTCAGTTTCTATATGTACGGTTTCAATTAGAATCTAATGAGCACTATTTGATTTTTTTTCTGCTTTAAACAATATAAAATATGTGTATTTGATCATTATTCTTATTAGCGACATAGACTTTTCCTTCACGATCAAATGATATGTCAATGAAAAGTTTGACTTGATTGTTGTGGTTTTCATCAGCATGTGTATCTCTTTTATATAATTGTGTGACTCGATAACAAACGACATAGTTATTTGTTGGTTACTGCTAATACTTATCTGCCTCACAGTCATTTTTACATTAAAGAAAAAAAATCAGAAGCCAACTCGATGACTTAATTACATGAAAAAAAGAAATTTTCGTCCTAATTTTTGTTCTGTTATTTTTTTTGCTTTCATAACGCGAAGTAAAACTCAATTTATTAAGAATGTTCTTTTTTTTAATCATGATAATAGGATCATACGCGATGCGTCATTGCTAAGTACAAGAGCGAAATAAATAACAAACATACAATTATGCTTCAATAATTGTAAAAGTACGTAAAGGTCATATGAAATAGTACATTGATAGAATGAATAAAAATGAAAAATCTTCGTATTGCTTCCTAATCAAAATCGGGTAAAAAGCAAAATTTGATAATTCATTTCAACGAATAATATTCGTATATAAAGAAAGTATCGTTGAGGGTGTGGATGATAGTTAACAAAAGATGGACCCACACCCTCAAGATTAATCGAACAAGCGGTAATTTTATACTAGAAGACATCGTGATTTAAGCTATGTTTTGACATAATTTGGATTGAGATTATTGTGCAATCTGATGACAATACGCATATAAAAAACGTTAATCTATAATCCGAACGTTGCTCTTTCAGATGGTAAAAATCGTAGCTCTCCCTCTTGTCCGTATTAAAAACTGGCCCGTAACTTCTGAACCATCCTGTAAAACAGATCAACACTATGCAATATTTTTTTCTAGATTAACTATTGGTAGTTTCTGATTACCACACTCATTCAATGAACTGAAGTTATCTAATCAAGGATTTAAAGTATGAATACAGATGGTAATAGAGAAGAACGCATTGAAGTAACATCATCAACAAAAATATCAATTTCATGATCTGAAACAGTGAAGAAAGAAAAAGGAGTTTTTCGCAAAGAGTGATTATATTCAAATGAAATATCTTTGAAAATAAAGTATGAATCAACAAATGAGAACCCAGCAGAGTATTGGGTGCCAGCAGCAGTAACATATTCTTATTAAACTTTCAATACATATATATAAGTGTAGTATTTTCATATTGACTGTGAGAAAATATGTACACATAGGTTCCATGACAATACAGAGTAAAAGATGACTTATATTGAATGAGTAACTGGTATTTCTCTTTCATTTTCAATTTGATAGAGTAACAAAGCAAAATAAAAAGAAGGTTGCTGATAAAAATAATATTGTGAAGAACATGAAGAAACGACAAGAAAAATATCCTAAACATTAACAATCGACGGTCTTCTTTTATTTTTTATCGCATTCCACCAGTCCTCTTCCAATCAAAGGTAGATGATGCAAGTGAAGTGAAAAAGTACACAAAGCATAAAAAAAAAGAAAGAAATAGTATTTGTTTAAAGTCAAACGAAGCGAGTATTGCATCCATAGGAGGAAAGATAATTAAAGCAAGGTAGTTAGGTGTATGTTATGAGTGATGTTTATAACAAGTATCAACTTCCTTTATAAAAATAATTATTATAGTATGGACACTATTTTAGCTGAAACTTCTCCAGTTAAAATACTAATCAGTGTATATAGTTTTTTTGGAATGAATTCATTGGGTTATAACCAAGAAAACTCATCAATAATCGAAAAATTATCTATCTTCATCAGAAACGGTGTTATATGCTTTCAGCCAAAAGTTAATCTTTATACGATTGAATAAAATTTAATTACAGTAGTTTTCTACTTGGAAAATATCATAAGAAAAACAATAACATTTGATAGAATACTGATTCAGAGCGAAACTTTGTACATTGAATTATCATATAAAAGAAATGAAAAAGATATTATTCGATGTGATCGAGAAAAACAATGAAAAACAATAGAATTTATATATTTATCTCTATTGTTTTCAATACCTGCATTAAATATATATGAAATAAGCAGAAGCAGTTTTTTCTCAGCGGACAAATTTGTTTCCTGAGCATGTAGATGAAGTCATGCGTTAACATTACCATTTTTTTCTTTCTAATGTAATATTTGTTATCTGCTTTAAGAAGACAATTTAATTAAAAACAAAATAATTTAAAAAAAAACATTATTCATACCTTTTTTTTTTTGCTATTATCTCAATGGTAACGTATTCAATCTTCTAAATAGTTGAAGCAACAACAATAACATAGTGTAGTCAAAGATGTACTTTTTTTGAAAAACAACCTGTGGCACAATGTATGGCGCTTTTTTTTCCTGCAATTAATAATTATTAAACTACAGAGAAAGAGTATTGTAGAAAATAAAAGAAAAAAAATAGTGATGAAAGTTAGTTAAACATTCATAAAATATTTTAAAAACTATAAAGAAGTACAACATGTTCTCGCTAATATTTATTTTATCGTTATTTTCTGTTTGTAATTCTATTCTTACTGGTAAAGTACAGAGTTATATAATAGTTGGTGATATGTATAAGAGCTTATTCAATGTGACAGAAAATCGATGTATATGTGAAATGATAAAAGTAAATGATTTAATATCAGCTTTGAATTATTTTTCAGCAAATCAAACTTGTCAATTATTTCGTTCAAATATTACTACAATTTTTATTGAATCTTATTCGAATTCTTTTTTTCTATTTCTTAATCAATCGTCAGTATCAATATTAAATGCTCAAGAATATCGTAAGTTTATTTCAGATACGACTTGTACGTTTTCATTTAGTAGTACTACAAAGATATCGTAGCTAATTATAGACCCAAATTCTAATAATTTGAATGAATTTGATGTTTATGCTTTTTAAATTCTAAAAAACTTTGCCTCTGTCAATGATTTTTTTCCACTGACTGTAATTTGTAGTGTTCGCCAATCATTAGTATCTGTCCTCGGAATCGGGTTATCCACAAAAAATTAACTAGATTAGTGAATCGAGAAGTGCTAGATTTTTGACAAAGCCTTATCCAACTTTCTTGTCTCATATTAACCCAATTTTCTTGATACAGAACCGATTACGTCATTATCACCACCAACAACAATACTATCAACCTCACCATCATCAACATCAGAAATATCATCTACATCATCGTCAACATCCACAACAACATCAAAAACAACATCATCATCAATCTCAACTACAACATCATCAACGTCAACAGCTTCAACATCAACATCAACAACATCATCATCATCAATATCAACATCAACTTCAACTTCAACTTCAATAACAACATCAACCTCAACATCAACAACATCATCATCAACCTCAACTTCAACAACAACATCAACATCATCGACCTTAACATCAACATCAACGTCAACATCGACCTCCACAACATCATCAACAACGTCAACAACAACATCATCATCAACAACAACAACATCGACCTCAACAACGTCAACAACAACATCATCATCAACCTCAACGTCAACGTCAACCTCCACAACATCATCAACCTCAACAGCTTCAACAACATCATCAACCTCAACAGCTTCAACAACAACATCGACCTCAACAACAACAACATCATCATCAATATCAACATCAACAACAGCAACATCATCATCAACCTCAACTTCAACTTCAACAACAACATCATCATCAACAACAACATCATCATCAACAACAACATCATCGACATCATCATCATCAACAACAACAACAACAACATCATCATCAACAACAACAACAACATCATCATCAACCTCAACGTTAACAACAGCAAGTAGTGAGTATTAGATAGAATACCTAGTGCTTACGTTAGTTGTTGAGAAGAGAAATATTTTGATTAGATTTTAAAATTTAATATTTGGCAGTACGAATCATCTCAAATTCGAATAAATAAGACGAGTTTATTAAACAGAAAACTTCTCAAGATGAAAAAATGATCTTTATACATAGGCAAACTAGTATTTGTGTACGAAGCTGAAGACAAAATGTTCTAATATTTGCCAAATCGATTTTTTTTATAAACATATAACAGTTCATTATGTCGTTGTCGTTTTTTAACACATAATCACCTTAGTGCTAAGTGAGATAGCGGCATGTAAATCCTATACAATTCAACGATGAATTTTTGTTTCCACATCAATCAAGATGCTAAAAATATTTTTTTGTTTTCGATAGCCTGCAATCTTTTTTTTAATCAAACTACGTACTCAGTTGGCAATAACCCAAACGCAGTAACAGTCGTTGACGTGAATAACGATAACCAACCTGATATTGTTGTTGCAAACTTTGGTTCGAATACCGTCAGTGTTCTTCTCAACGTAGGCAATGGTACTTTTAATACTTTAGCAACTTATTCAGTTGGCTTTGGTCCACAGGCAGTAGCAGTTGTCGATGTGAATAGCGATAACAAACCCGATATTATTGTTGCAAACACTGCTTCGAATACCGTCGGCGTTCTTCTCAACGTAGGCAATGGTACCTTCAATACTTTAGCAACTTATTCAGTTGGTCTTTTACCGTCGGCAGTAGCAGTCGTCGATGTGAATAGTGACAACAAACCTGATATCATTGTTGCAAACCAAGGTTCGAATACAATCAGTGTTCTTCGCAACTTAGGTAATGGTATCTTTAATACTTTAGCAACTTATTCAGTTGGCATTAGCCCACAAGCGCTAGCAGTTGTCGATGTGAATAGCGATAATCAACCTGATATTGTTGTTGCAGAGAGTGCTTCGAATGCCGTCGGCGTTCTTCTCAACGTAGGCAATGGTACCTTCGATACTTCAGCGACTTACTCAGTTGGTGTTATTCCAAGGGCAGTATCAGTTGTTGATGTGAATACCGACAATAAACCTGATATTGTTGTTGCAAACAGTGCTTCGAACACAGTCAGTGTTCTTCTCAACGTAGGCAATGGTACCTTTAATAATTCAGCGACTTACTTAGTTGGTGTTGATCCAAGGGCATTATCAGTTGTTGATGTAAATAGCGACAATAAACCCGATATTGTTGTTGCAAACACTGCTTCGAATACAATCAGTGTTCTTCTCAACTTAGGCAATGGTATTTTTAATACTTCAGCAACTTATTCAGTTGTCATTAATCCATGGTCAATAGCAGTCGTCGATGTGAATAGTGACAACAAACCTGATATCATTGTTGCAAATCAAGGTTCGAACAATGTCGGTGTTCTCTTACATTGCTGAGATTTATTAATGATTAACCTCTATTAATAACATTAATCTTATAAAACAGTATACGATGCGAACTACTATTTAGGTTTCTCTCGGCATTGAAAACTTCAACAAGACTTTGCGACTATGAATACTAGTGACAAATGCATTAGTATCCATATATTGAACAGTAATTTATTATTTAATAATAATATTTCTAGTTATGAACTTTTCTGTACGCATAGAACTATATATATTGCAATTACTTAAAGTTCAAAACATTAGTTTTGGACCTGTAAAAGAGTATAGAAAAGTTTCATAAGCTTAATTATTTTTTTCTGATCTGTTCGAAAGAAAACTATTAATTATGTGCAATCTATAAAATTCTGCTTTTGAAAATAAATAAACTACTACTACTAATTCTAAGACTGAAAGTATATTTGAAGATGTGAGTGATGTCATGAAAATGATGATAAAGAAAGAAGTCACTTTCACATCCTTGAGGGTGTGACTATCTTTAACCAGATCCACACCCACTCTCAGTTTGGTTTAAATGATACTTTACAATATTACAGTAGAAATAAACAAGATATTTGATGATAAAAATAACTTGAACATTCAAATGTTGTTTTTTTAGCCTTGAAAAACATATGGTGTGGATATAAGGTAAAGACAACAGACCCATCCACACACTCTCTGCATCGTTAGCTAAAAAATATTAAAAAAAATATTATTATTAAAAATTTGTATATATTGAAAGCAATGATGTATAACGACAATTCATACACAAATGAGCGTGTCTTGTATTGATCAATGAAGGGGTAAAATATGATGAATTTTGATGTTCATTTCTTTTTTTCTTTCTCAATTTTATAAACACACTCTTTGTATTTGATCGCTGTCGATACGTGTCATTCGGTTTTTTTCTTCACTTGTATCAACATACATGATTGCTCTATCTTTTTTCTTTTCTCAGTATGTTAGTGACATTTTCACCAGCTATCACTTATTCAGACTTAAATTTTTTTTAAAAAGATTCATTTTAAGATGTTCTACAAAATGGGATGAATGTGAGTGTAGGTGTTATATTTCGTTCATATTCACACTAATTATACGACTGAGAAAAAGGACGTCCATTTATTGTACACCCCCAAATTAAAGTACATCCTATTTATTCCTTTTGAATAATTTTTCATGTACATATATATATGAATCCCGTATACTTAGCAGTGAAGAGTCTTTTGATATATATATTATAGTTCTTTTTCTTTCTCCTTTATGTTTTTGGTATAGAAATCAAAAATTAATTATAATCAAACGTGAACAATGTTTGTAAAACGTCAACCGAAATACAACAATTTAAAATTCATCTTATTTTTCATAACTCTGACTTGTCTCATTTTTATTATGTTCTTTGTCATAAACAAATATGCGAATATAATTCCATTTATGAAAATATCAAACAGAACAATCAATACGACTTTGACTTCTACCACACCTTGTCATCCATACATACCGCTCGATAATCGTTCCTTTTACGAACAGGAATATCCTCAATCAAATTTACCTCAACGAATATCGAACTCATCATATCAAAGCGTTCTTCGTCAACTTCATTCTCGTCGATTAGTTGTTCTAGGATGTGCTCGTAATGTCGAACGAAATCTTGATGGATTTCGAAGTCATATGGAGCCAATCATCAATCTCTTTCATTCATCATCTCGTATTCTTATTTTCGAAAGTGATTCAAGAGATAGAACTGTAAAAAAACTTCGTGAGTGGTCTCGTATAGAACTTTATACATATCGTAGATTAGCAAAACAGTATCCAGAACGTTCTGAACGACTTGCTTATGGTCGAAATATGCTAATGGATAAAGCACATCTTTTACTACCTGATTAC